GGCCGGGCTCCTTGCAGCGCCGCCGCGCCGGCGTTAGGCGGCGAGCGGGGATTTATTCCGTGGAAACGCCGGGATGCTGCTCCCAGCCCTGCTGCGGACGCTGGCCGCGCTCGGGCGCTGCATCCGCTCGGGTCCAGAGGCGGACGGTGCCATCGGTGCCTCCCGAGAGCAGGTGCTGGGCTCGGTGGTCGAAGGCGACGCGCTTGGTCCTCGTGGCCCTAAGGACCTTCAGGACAAGCACACTGTGGGTGTTGGTTCCCGAGAGAAATGATGGGAAGCCAGACGGATCAATAATAATGAGATTAGGCTGCGGTGATGAAGCGAATCCAGAGAGCTGGAGATGCTGCTCATTAAGAGCACGGTCACTGTAATTATATTTGGGTATAATTATTCAAGTTTCTTTAGAAACCTAAATTATTTAATTTTTTCTATTCTATCTAATCATTTAGAGTCTGTGGGTTGGATTCTGGCCCGCAGCCCGAGCCTCAGGGAAACAGATACCCAGAGGTATAAGCAGGCCCTGGCATTAACATTGCTCTGCTTCCACAGCCCCCTAAGAAATTGGGCTTTAGCTCTTCAACATTTTTAGGCAAGCAAGAAGTCCAGCATCAAGTTGAGCCCAGGGCCAGCTCCTTTAGATCCTTACAAAAAAGCCAGCCCTAATTAAAAGGCGAGGAGAGAACTGGACAGTTCTAACAGCAGAAAGGCAAAAATTTAGGGAAGTTTCACACGTTTAATAATATATGCATGTTAATAAATGCATGCTTCCAAGTATTGATGCACTGATGTACAAGAGATCAATACATTACTTCCCAAGCAGATGTGGGGCTCCCAGCACAGGAGCTGTTGTGTTTTCATGGCATCATCTTGGTCAAGAGCCTTTTTCTATTAGGAGCAAGATCAAGATACCCTCCAAGTACTTTTTCTCTGAAAGCAAAGACATTCCTGGCAGGAGAATATTAATCCTGACTCTGGCAAAGTCTATCTGGCACTGAGGCCTTTTTTTTTTTTTTAAAAAAAAAAAAAAGATTGTGCAAAATGGCTGAAATTTTGCCACTTTCAGTCTGAGTTACTCACCAAGCAGTGAGCAGGAACATATATCCCCAGCAGAAGTTAGTATAGAAAAAACAGTCCCGATTTCAGAAATGTATTGAGCCATATGGCCTGGCATGGGACTATTCCCCCATTTAGCCTGGGAAACCCACTCACCAAAGCACCTTACAAACGCTGGGGGGACATTTAGGTGCGAGTCATGCCTAGGGCAGCCGTGGCAATTTGTGCAAGCAGGGGAATGGGAAAGCCGAGCTAACCATGATAAACACGCCCTATTTGCAAACCTTTATAACTACCCGGCTCCTTCATCTAGAACAACGCCTGACACAGCAAAGATCTCCAGGATGGATTGGAGTGTCCAACGCGGCAGATGGGAATATTTATTACGGAGGAGGCTCTCCCTGTGCGGCGGTGCTGACGGCAGAACCAGGCGTCGATGGGGTCAGACGGCAGCTCTAGGGGCTGTGGTGACGAGGACCCCTCTGGGAGCTGAGGACAGGCTGGTTTGTCCCAAGCCCTGACATCAAAATACAGGGGCCAGCGTCACTCATGGTTCATTCCAAACAGGAGTGAACGAGCACGCTAAAGAGGCAGCAGGACGGCAAAGGACACAGGCTCCTGCCAGCTCGCTCCTCATACAAACTCCCTCCTTCCAACAGGAAATGGCTCTTTTTGGAAAAGAGGGAACAACTTGTGTTTTGCTGCCACTTCAGAACGTTCTCCAATTAGAAACCCAGTCAAAAAAAGCAATTATGAATTTGCCAGGCGCAGCTCTTGCTGTGAGGGAGGCTGCGGCACGTTAGCAAAGCTACATAGGTAGAATGCTCAGAGGGGGACAAAACCACGGAGATTGCACCTTCCCCGTACACCCTCACACAAAGTGTGAGGTAGAGGAGGCCCAAGGAGACTCCTCGAGCCTAGCAGTTGCCCTGGTTTGCAGTGGAGTGGTAGAAGAGGCCAAATAGTGAGACTAAAAGGGAGAGAGAGACACTCCATGTCTCCCAGCCTGCAGGCCTATCGATCCCGTGCTCCTGGGAAGGTGGCAGCTCACACGTCTACCGCCCGCTGAGCCGTCTGCACGGCGAGGAGACCCTCCAGCAGCAACCTCCCTGCTCCCTTTCTCGGATGCACCCCAGTTATGTCCTTAAAATAACGTAAGCTGAGACCATCTGGGCCCTGCTTCCGAAAGGATGCAGCGAGTCAGAAAAGGTAGCAAGGACGGCGGCAAGAGCAACCGCAGTACTGACAACCGCTGCGCGAGGACTCGGCCAGAAGACTACAGCTCACTCTCGAAGAAGATATTTATATGCTAAAATGTATTTGGCTGGTCATATTTTTGCTATATGCAAACCTGGAGCTTCAGTCGACCCAGAAATTTGCATGTCTCCACCCTGAGCCGAGCACATGAGCTTGAACCCAAAGCTATTGCATTCAGCGAAGCTTGGTTCTGTCACACATAAGCAAGTGACTTATTTTCCCTTGTCTCTAAAGGACCACAGGCACATCTATCCCACTCTGTGAATACCAGCACCACCAAGGCCACTTAGGTCTAACACAATATGAAATCCATCTCCTGATTTGAACCGATCTTCCCATTTGGCTAAATTTCCAAAGTGCTGGTGTACTGAAGCCATTTAATTTAATTTGTGTCTGCAGGACTCGTTTCTCAGGAACACAAAACTAGTCAGGATAAATTAGCTGAGCTGATAAAACCAAACCCCTGAGACAAGGGGAAACATGTCAAAGGACAAAACCTGACACCCCACACAGCAGGAGATCCCAACAGAGACCCTGGCAACGATGACCACCTTCTTCATAAGGCAAATCAGAGTGAAGCCTTGCCAAGGCAACCTCCGGTGGTCCTATACTGGTTTACTCCTGCAAACAGCCAGAAGCGGTCACGTCTCTGCCTTGGGACTGCATGATAAGTAGACC